CGCGGGCTGCTTGGGCGGCCTGCCCCGCCGGCCCCTCATGTCGGAGCCGCGGCTGAGGGGAGGGGGGGGAGCGGAGGGGTGGGGGAGGGGCGGCGGGGGGCGCCGGGGCCGAGGGGGAGGGGAGGGCGCCGAGGCCCGGGCGGGAGGGGCGCGGCCCGGCGGCGGCGGGCTGGAGAGAGAAGGCTCAGTCCGAATTGCCGGGGCCCCGCTCCGGATCGCCTGCAGCCGCCATCTTGTTTCTTCCCTCTCGCTCGGTGACTGGGGGAACCGACAGCGGCCGCAGGCCCGGAGCGCGGTCACGTGAGCTGCGCCGCCCGACGAGCCTGGGACGGAGCGAGGCGGCGCGGCGGCCGCTAGGGGGAGCGCGGGAGCGGCGCGGCGGGGGCGGGGAGGCCCCGGGACGCCCCTGCGCGGCCGGACGGCGGCGGCGCAGGGGCGAGAGGGGCAGCGCGGGGTGTCTCCTCGCCGGGGGTCGTCTCCCGGGAGACCCTAACAGCCCCCTCCCCCGCGGCAGGAGCTCAGGGAGAGCGAGCGAGCTCTGTGCGAGTCTCCCCAAGCCCGCTTGGAAAACGGGGAAGTTTCCCGTCAAGTCGCTGGTCCTCCTGGGGGAAATCGAGGCGGAAAAAAAACAGGACACGGGTGTCGTGGAGTGGGGGCGCGACCCAGAGGCCCGGGCAGTCGCCGGGCGGAGCCAGCCGCCGCGCAGGGGCAGGAGCTGGGGATAACTCAGCCCCGCTACAAGCTTGGGTCCTGGAGGGTCCTGAAGTTGCCCCAGGATTGCACGCCTGGAGCCACACCCCCGGGGTGGGTCGCAGGCTTTCCGGGAGTCCCCACCCTAAAGCCGGGTGAAATCCCAGGGCTGGGGCTTCCCAGCGGCCTCCCGGCACCTTTTCCCCTTCCCCGCTAGGGAGTTCCACACCTCAGCGAGAACCTGCGGTAGGAAGGATGGCGACCTGTCTAGATAATTGGCTTCACGAAGTTACGTGTTTGGGTTCCCCGCCTGATCAAATCACAATATAGTTCGGTGAATAGAAGTGAAAATTTAAAACAGAGTACTAATTGCCAACTAATTCATTATTTATTCACTTTACTTCAGTTGATCTCTGAGAGTGGCAAACTTAGCCATAGGGACCTCAGAAGGAACCGAAGTAAAGAAAGTGAGCCACAAGCGTTCTTTGGTAAACAAATGTTAGTTTTGTTTAAAGAGTGCAGCTGTAGAGGCAGGCGGTGGTGGCTCAGGCCTTTAATCCCAGCACTTGAGAGGCAGAGGCAGGTGGATCTTGAGAGTTCAGGGCCAGCCTGATCTACAGAGCGAGCTCCAGGACAGCCAGGGCTACACAGAGAATCACTGTCTCATGGGGGGTCGTGGAGGAAAAGTGCAGCTATAAGAATGCAGGCTCCAAAATAGATAGATCTTCGTGTCGGGGGAAATTTATTTTGTTTTATTAGGGCAGAGTCTCGCTATGCCGCCCTAGCTGGCCTGGAACTCACTATGTAGAACAGGCTGTCCTCCCAACTCTGCCTCTTGAGTGCTAGGATCAAAGGTGTGCACCACCACACCCTGCAGTTGGGGGGGGGGGGGCTGCCATAGACTCTCACTATGTACCTCAGGCTGGCCTCAAACCTGTGATCCTCCTGCTTCAGCTTCACAAACTCTGGAATTATAGGCAGGTCCCCATCTTCTATATTTTTCAAGAGTATGGAGATTTTATCTGAAACGTTCGTTTATTTGATTTTAAATAGAGTGACCCAGACTGTCATCAAACCAGAATATAGGATAGCAAATGTGCCACCATGACCAGTCATGGGGAGAAAAATGTGTGTGTGTGTGTGTGTAGACAGAGATAGAATAAGGTTATTTAACAGAGGGTAGGCAAAATTCCTCATGGGTAAAAGTCCTTACCACCGCTCCTTTTGACCTGTGTTCAATCCCTGGAGCCCACAGAAAGAAAGCCTGCTGGGCCTAGTGGCAGGCCTTTAATCCCCACACTCAGGAGCAGAGGTGATCTAGAGAGACCCTGACTCAATAAAAGAGAGACTAGAGAGAGATCCCGCTCCTAAAAGTTTTCCTCTGACTCCTACACACATACACATACATAAATAAATAAATGCCAAAAGACAAGATTTTAAGATAGATATATATGTAACTATATATACGCATACACAACACACACACATATATATGTGTGTGTGTATACATATACATTTCTCCTCCCCAGTTGGAACTCTCAGAGATCCAACTGCCTCTGCCTCCAGAGTGGTAGGATCAAAGGTGTGGGCCACCACCACTACCAGACTGTTTTGTTGGTTTTTTTTTTTTTTTGTCACCATGTAGCACAAGCAGGCCTGACACTGCTGTCCTTCCTGCCTTAGTCTTCTTAATGTTGAAAATAGATGTGAGCCGGTGTTGGTTTTGGTTTGTTTTTTTTTTGCTTTTGTTTTTAATCATGTCACACAGTACTGCGCAATCTAAGGCAATTCCTGGCCTCAAATGGTCCTCTGACCTCAGCATCCTGAGCCTTCAGACTAGTGGCCTGCAGTGAGTACAACAACACTGTAGATGGACTAAATATATACTTTCCAGATAGAGTCCACACTGTAGAGTTTTGCAACCTGTGACCTGTACTGTGTGGACTACAGTTCCGCATACAGCAGGGAAAGCAAGAATGTTAGAAATGGAGACAGCCTTCAGCGTTGGCAATCTAACAGTGAAGGTGTAATTACCAACATAGATGTTAAACATGAAACGTGGACCAATAAGATGTTTCTGACATTAGGTTGGCTTTTTAGTTGCTGGCCTTGGGAAAGTGACTCTGGATCAGTTCATCAGAAAAGGAATCCTTAAGAAGGACGCAGAGAACTTTAGAATTGTGGGTTCCGAGTCTAAAAGGAATCCCATCCTCTGAAGCTGCCACCTTCCATGTCTGCCTAAGGATCCTAATGTTCCAGAGAAGAAGCAGGCCGCCGCTCTGCCTCTGAGTGCCAGCATCACAGAGCAAGCTGACCACCCGGCTCAGTGGTTAGCGATCAAGTTAGTGGAGCTCAGGTAGAGCCACTATAAGGTCAGGCTCTTAGGCAGGTGCTACAATACATAAGGCACTGTCATGGCGGTGAATGGGTCAGGGCTGGGCAGATGGTCCAGCGGGTGAAAGTGCTTGCTCTTAAGGAAGGCCAGAGCTCAGCTGCCGACACCCACAACAGGTAGCTCACAACCACCTAGACTCAGCTCCAGGGGATCCAGGGCCCACTCCTAGCCTGCACTCCTATGCATATACCATACACACAGATGTGAAAATAAATCTTTTTAAGTTGCCAGGGATGGTGGCCCATGCCTTTGATACCAGCGCTTTGGAGGCAGAGGCAGGCAGATCTCTGTGAGTTCAGGGGTACATAGTTTCAGGCCAGCCAGGGCTACACAGTGGAACCCTGTCTCAAAACAAAAGTCCAGACTGGAGAGAGCACCCTTATTGCAGCCAGGCAGCAGTGGTGAATGGATCCCAGCACTCAGGAGGCAGAGGCAGGCATCCCTGAGTTCAAAGCCAGCCTGGTCTGCAAGAGTGAGTTCCAAACAGTCAGGATTAGACAGCCCCTTGTAACAGCCTCTTCTGGCCTCCACAGGCCACACATAGACACATTAAAAAATAAATCACTAAACAAAGCCTTCAATGGTGTAGGCCTTTTGTTTTTTTTTTAAGCGTGTGAGTGTTTTGCCTGCATGTATGTTTGCATACCACATGCATATGCAGGCAGTGCGCAGCGAAGGCTAGAAGAGGGTGTAGGACCCTTGGGGCTGGAGTTCCCGACAGTTCTCAGCTGCCGTGGGGGGCTGAGAATGGAGCCCAGGTCCCTTGGAAGAACAGCCAGTGCTCTTCACTCCTGAGCTATCCCTTCAGCTCATGCACACCTTTAATCCTAACACCCTGGAGGACTAAGTCCCTATCTTAAAGAAAGAGTAAGAGAGAGAGGTAGAAGGAAGTAACCATATTGCTGAAATAGGCAGATGTTCAGGTGGCTTGTATCTCTTGATGCTGTAAGAGGAAAACTCTTACCAGATTGTATCATTATAATCCCTTCTAAACCAAGTCAGCTTCAGCAACAGGCAAGTCTTTCCAGAAGACAAGCCGGTGACCAGATTGTTACTTTGTGTTATTTTGTCCATGACCTCAGATCCACAGGTCAGTTCTCTCTCTCTCTCCTCTTTCCCTACCCCCTCATGTAGCACAGGTTGGCCCCAAAGTCACTGTGCAGCCAAGGATGGCCTTGAATACTGACCCTGCTGCCCCCACCTCTGGAGTGCTGGGATTGCAGGTGTGAGTCACCATGTCTGCCTTATGTGTTGCTGGAGACACAAGCCAAGGCTTTGTGTATGTTATACAGGCACCAATTAAACTCCATCTTGGCCCCAGAGGTACATATGTCTTATCTACTTGCTTATTTATTTGTTTATATGTTTGTTTGTCTGTTTGTTTCAAGACAGGGCATCTGTGTCTAGCCTG